GATCCTGGGCCTGCTCTCCCAAAATAGGGGAGGCGGTCCCCAGCACTTTTGGCCCTGCAGCCATCCCTGCAGCACGCTCCAAAACACTCTCCTCGTCCTTCTCCATTAGCCCCTCCAAAGTTTCCTCCACCTCCCCCCGAGTTGCCAGGAAAGGCTTGTCCGTCCATTCTGCAATGGGAACGTCACTTTCAGTCAGGACTTTCCCCTGTTCCTCGAGCGGCTCCTCCACAATGGGCCCCTCCTTCAATTGGAAGGCTTGAGTAAGCTCTTCCGGATATTCCCTGTAGTGTTTTGCCACTGCAATGCTCAGCGTATCGCTGTAGCTTGCGAGCACCAACCTGGGGAGGATATGGGGGGCATACAACTGAACTTTGAGGCCCTTGAAGAAGAACTCCTCCCTCATTACAAGCACAGCCTTAGTCCGGGAGGAAAGGTCACCTTCTCCTTCCTCCTCTCGGGCGGCAGCAATCCCCTCCAGGGCTTGTGCCAGCTCCGCCTGCAACTTTTCTTCGGTCATCCCTGTGATGGGGGCGACTCCCTGCGGAAAAGACGCTTCCGGACTAGGCCGCCATACTCGGGGCATGTCTTCCCCCGTGTATTGCACCTTTGCAGCATTGCATGCTGCTGGGAATTGGCCCCTCGTCAGCCATCCCCACCCCTGCAATTTCTTGCGCTCTCTTCTGATGCCCTGAAGCTGCTGCGGACCACAAGTCCAGCAACCTGTTTCGCTTGGGAGTGCGCCTTGGCTCGGAGGGTGGAGTTTCTGTGCTGCCTACCCCTTCCGTTTTTCTGCGTTTTGGGAATGAAGCTTGGAGTGGAGTTTTCTCTCCTTTTGCTTCTTTCCTTTCCCGCTTCAAGTCCCCTGCCTGCACTAATGAATCCAGAGGCTCACTCAGTGGAGCTCTTAGGGACTTGTCAGGGTTCTGCCCCATTTTGCCTGCGGTTGGCCAGCTAATAATAGGGAATAGACCGTAGAGGCCTCGAGTTTGAATTCTGTTGCACTCCGCACTTGTATTATTGAGCAGGCTCGATTGTGACGAGTCTCCGCCCTGGTGCGGTCGTCAGCTGCGGATCGTGCGAAGTGGTCGGGCGATATCTCCGACGAGGGCCGACACGCTTCGAGGAGGCTCTCGGGAAGTCCGACCAAGCGTGCAACCGCCGGGAATGATTGCGGAGCTCTCCGCACCCTGCAAATCGAGTCTCCGCGGAGACTCCAATGTACGGATTTGTACGGCTCTGCCCTTCTTATATTCGAATGTTTGTTTTCTCTGACGGCGAGGTTTTAGGACCCGCGGATTTTAATTCGCGGCCACGTCTCCTCCTGTCCCTTGTTTAAAGCTGCCGCGTCGAGGACTTCGACTGCGCCCAGCTGTGTTGTTTTACGCAGTGTTGTACTACTCCCCGACCGCTGCCCGCGGCTCATGGGGGTGTAGCATAACAATGTGGCGCGTCTGGACAGCGCTGCCCATTCTGGTCTTCCAGTACCGCGACCTGCGCGGCTTCGTCGAAGAAGTAGGCGAACTTGTAAGGTCCTTCCCACCCTGTATCGAATTTGTGCTCGCGCTTAGCGTTTTTCATGATGACCAACTGTCCCGGTTTGAGGTTGGCGACCCGGTAGACTCCTCTGTGCTAGCGCCTTTGGTAAGCGGCTTCCGCTCGGACCTGCGAGATGTCCCTGTTCGCAGCGGCGGTCGCGCGCATATTTGCTTGGTGCGCTTGTCTCAGGAGGATGTCGACACGCCGGATCTCGCAAATTCCCTGCACTGCGGCGTCGAACTCGCGCTCCGCCCTCTCTTCCCCTTCAGAGGTAGAGGATTGGCTTATCCGGAACCGTGCCGCGAGCAGTCGCTCCGCTGGCAGGACCGGCTGTCTTCCGTTGATATCTTAAACGGAGACATCCTGGTAGCTGTGCGGTAGCACACCCTGATGACCAATAAGGCCTCGTAGATGTGAAAAACCCAGTCAGGTCCGTATTGAATCACCAGCTTGCGGACATTCTTGGTGAATATCTTCACCGATGATTCCGCTCCTCCGTTCATCCAGGGAGAGTAGGGGACGATCACCTGCACTTGAGTCCCCATTCGTTGGCAAAGGTCTTTCACCTCCCCAACGTGTGCGTCGTTGTCCATGATTATAAGCGCCGGGCAGGCGTGGGCTGCAAAGAGATCCATTTTAAGGAACTTCGCGACCTCCGCAGACTGCTTGGTCCTTCCCAACCCTGCACCAATCCAGCCGGAGAAGTAGTCGTACCAAATGTAGACGTACTCGTATCCCTCTGTCGTTGGTGGGAATGGCCCGAGCAAGTCGAAGCCGACTTTCTCAAGGGGTAGGTCCACCTCTGTGCTCGTCAGCTTTCGGCCGTCCGTTCGCTCTGTTGTGGGTTGGTTGGCGAATTGGCAGGCGACGCAGGACTTGATGAAGTCGCGCACGTCCTCGTACATTCCTTTCCAGAAGAATCGTGACTGCAAAAGCTTCCTCGTCTTCGAAATAGAGGGGTGCCCTCCCTGATTGTGTACTTTTTCCAAGACCATTTGTTTCTCAAAACGGCACGCCTGCGGACCGGCCCCTGCACTTGATTCTTGCGCTTTGGGGGCGCGTCCAGTTTCCAAAGCCTGCCTTCTTCGAATAAGAAGCGGCGAGCTCTGTCCCGGATTTGGCGGCGCGCTTCTTTGCGTTGTTTGGCCGTCATTTCCTTGAATGCTGGAAGTTGTCCGCGGCACAGCCAATCTATGACTTCTGCGTCTTCGCACAGTGCTCCGGTTTGGGCCGGGAAAGGTGCCCCAGGGAGGATGTTTCCATTTGGGCGGCGCCGGCTTCGTTGGAGTTGTCCCTAATCCCCTCGCTAGGATTCAGGCCACCCCGAGCTAGGAGGTTCTCCCGCACTGCTGCAATCACGTTCTCCCTGCAGTCTTGCCGCATGTTCAGGATGGCCTTTTTGGCCTCCCTCAGAACCTCCTCTGGGTCCGCATTCGGGCAACTGGTGAGGATCGTTATGGCCACTCTTTCCACCAGAGTGCTCTCCGCTAAAGGGGTATTTACTCCCCCGTTTCGCAGAAAGTTCCTGCGCCGAGTGAGGACCTGCAGGACGTCAGCATCAAAGCCATCTAGCTCCGGAAGTTCCGCATCCCCTTCGCGTGTTGCTGCTTCCAGGATTTGTTGTGCGTCCCAGCCAAGGTGCCTGTCCAGGTCTCGTGTGAGCTATTCTACCATTTCTTCTTCTTCCAGAACTGTGCGTGCCCGAGCCGGGATTCCCGAAAGTCCCTGCATTTGTTCGGAAGGTTCCAAAGCCGTGGTCTCCCCTGCAAGGATGGTCAGGATTGTGAGCCCCTCCGGAGCCGCCCAATCCTGAAAGGTGATTTCCTCTTCCATTATGAGAAGTTCCTCCTCTTCTTCGAACAGCTTGCGCGGTTGGAAAGTCACTTCCTCCCGTTTGCTAGCGCTTTCTTCTCCGGACTTGTCCTCCCAGTCGCTGGCGCCGTCGCTCGTTGTTGTTTCCCAAGTCATCTTGACAGGAGAGCCTCTTGTCTCGTGGGTAAAGTCCATGTGAGAGTCTGCATCCGGTGTGCAAGGAGATTATTCCATCCCCTCGCTAAAGTCGACGTCCCGGGCGACTTCGCACAGAGAAACCTGAGGGAGGGAGGGTGGGTATTCAAAATCCGGTGCTGCATAGCTGGGGAGTTCGTCGGGGTCTTCATCTTGCTCCCAAGGTAGTGTTGCTACCGGATTGCGGGACAGGGGGTCTACATTTGAGTGGAGCCGGCCCGGACGGTAGACAACCGTGAAGTTAAACTCCAACAGCTTACAGTGCCAGCGCGCGAGTCTCCCCGTCAGTCCGGTCTGTTGGTGAAGCCATACGAGGGGGTTGTGGTCGACCCACACTGTAAAAGTGGGTCCCCCGAAAGGGTAAGAGCGAAACTTGTCCGTTTAATCGCCCAAACCATGGCTAGCAATTCTCCATCTGTGACAGAATAGTTGGCTTCTGCGCCATGAAGTGCGCGAGAAGCAAATGCGACCGGGCACTCGCGTCCCTCGTTGTTTAGCTGGCTGAGGGTTGCCCCGATGCCAAGCTTGCTGTAATCCGTGTCCAGAAGGAACGGCTTAGCGAATTCAGGTCTTGTGAGTGCCTGCGCATCAATCAGAGCCTATTTGAGCAGCTTAAAGCTCACCGCTTGGTGCGGGCCCCAGGCGAAGGGAACTCCGATTTTCGTCAGGTCGTGAAGCGGCTTGGCCAGCTGTGCGAACCGGGGGACGAAAATCCTGTTATAGCCCAACATCCCTAGGAAGCTTTCAATCTCCGTAGGGTTGATTGGTTCGTAACAATCCCGAATTGCGCGAACCTTTTCCGGCGTGGGCAAGAGTTGATTGTGCCGGATAAGGTGCCCGAGATGTTCTGTTTCGCTGGCGCCAAAGTGGCACTTGCTCGGGCAGAGCTTAAGGTCGATGGCCTCTAGCTTTGTCAGGACGGTGTCTAGCGCAGAAAGGTGCTCCGCAAAGTCGTCGGAGTATAGCAGAGTGTCGTCCAGGTACTCTGTCACGCAGGGCTTGGGCCCGCTGATTTCCTCCTGCAGGGTTTGGTCCATGACCATTTGATAAGTCCCTGGAGCTCCGGTCAGGCCGAATGGCATCCGGAGGAATTCGAACAGGCCGCGGTGGGTAAGAAACGCCGTCTTTTGAACATCCTCCGGGTGCAGCCGAATCTGCCAGTACCCTGCCTGCGCGTCGAGCGAAGTAAAGTAAGTCGCTCGCCCCAACTTGTCGAAGATGGAGTTGATGCGCGGCAAGGGGTACCGATTTGGTACAGTCGCCAGGTTGATTTTCCTGTAGTCGACGCAGAAGCGCCACTTGCCCCCTTTCTTTCGTGCCAGCACGACAGCCGCTGCATAGGGGCTGCTTGACCTGCGGACTACGTTGTAATCCTCCATAGGTGTCATCTGCCTGTCACTTTCATCTTTTTCAAAAGGACTGTGATTTTGGGGGCCTTCCCGAATGGGTTTGATGTCCCCGGTGTCGATCCTGTGAGTGTACCCCTTTACCAACCCCAAATCGGATGGATCTTTGGAGAAGGCGTGAGGGTGACGCTTACGGACGTCAAGCAGCTCCTTCTTTTGCTCCGGAGTCAGACTTTCTGCTATCTGTAGTTGAGGCAGGACGGCCTGCCACTGCTCCTCTGGGGGCAATCGGGGGAGCGGTTTCGCCTCGACCACGGGGCAGTCCGTGGCTTTTCGGACCTGCGGAAGCTCGAATCCAAAAATGTCCTCCCCCCAATCATTTGTCCTCTCCCTTTCGTGGGCGTCACCTGCTTCCACTTTCGCTTCGACTAACAAGACTGTGGCGCGGAGCCCGGTGGCCCAGAGCGGCCAGTAGCGGTGTGGGGATGGGGTGGAGAATCTCGTCCACATCGAATTGAAGGAACGTTAGCTCATACTCTCTGATTCTGTTTGAAGCATAATCCGGAGAGTACACACTCTGCTGCACCATTTCGTCGAAGAAGCGGCGGACCTCCTGCGGAGAAGAGAGTACGATGCCCCGGTTGGGTTCGTCCGGGGGCTCGTTTCTGAACGGTCGGGTCGGGGAACACAGGGGCTCCGTATCTGCCGGAAAGTTTTCCTCCGGATCCTGGAATTGCTCCAGCCAGGAGACGGTGTCGTCCATATAGCAGAGTTGGGTGAACGCAGTTGTGCCCATGAGCGCCATGTCCGAGCGGAATCTAAGTTTGCCCCGGCGGATGGGCGGCGCCAGGGGCGCCCGCGCCACGGTCGGGGGAGCGACCTCAGAGTCCGTGTCACCCGTCTCGTCCTCTTCCTCCTCTGCGTAGGAGACCAAGTCGGGGACGTCGTCATCGGAGTCCACTTGTTCGCCGTCCGGATTGCTGATGTAAGCACCTGATCGATGTGTTTCTTCGTGGCCCGGTCCCTCCGCCCGACCATTGGTCCAGGGAGCGCTGGGCAGGATGATGTTAAGGGCAACAAAATTGTCCAAGACCTCCGCCAACGTGGGAAGGTCTGTTTCCTCTGCCCGAGCTTCTGCCATCCAGGACAAGAGTGCTGACTCATGCCACTCTTCCTCTGCGCTTTCGTCGCAGTCAGAAAAGCCCAAGGAGTCCTGTTCGTCCCCGCTTTCCGCGAAGGTGATTCGTACGGCGCATTCCTCCTGCATCAGAGGCGCGCTTGGGAGGGTTGCCTCGCCGGCTTGGCGCTCCGTCGTTAGAGCGGAGAAAGCGAGGGCTGACGTCACGGTGTCGTCAGTAACCTGCGGCGGCTCCGGGGGTCCTTCGTCCGGGGGTAGCAGCCCGGGCATCCCGGCGTCTTCTTCGTCGGGGTCGCTCTCCTGCGTTTCCGTTCCTTCGGCGTCCGATTCCCCTCCTCCAGAGTCGGAGTCATCTTCTGCACAGCCGGGGTAGTAATAAGTGGGCGGCCCCGCTTGCGTAATTGTATACCTGCGCCAGCATTCAGGGTGGATGCCTTCGGGTATCCCTTTAATTCGTCTCCGCTGTAAGTTCTCAGCGATGGCCACCTGCGGAAGCTCAGGGATCCCCTCGCTGGAGTCGTACCGGGCGTCTTTTCGGGGCTCCTTTCCGGCCGACTCTGGCAGAGTCATCATCTGGACCTGGGAAAGCACTCGACCCCGCTTTGGCGGCATTATAAGATTTAGCGAGACAATTTTGTGACTATGGGAGAGTTGGAATTCAAACCTCCCTTTTGGGAAGTTTATCACCCCGTTGACTTTCTTCATGGATGAGGTCCCCAGAAGCACGTCGTAGTTCAAGTGATCCTGCACCAGAAATCGCGCGCCCAACTCCATGTGTGGGCCCAGACCGATTGTGCAGTCGATCCAGCCCGCAGTTGTGCTGCTCCGGCCATCCGCTTGTAGAAAAGTGGGAGAACCACGTTGGAACTTGTGCTCAAGTCCCGCGGCCTTTACCGTGTCTAGTGACATCACGTTGACGTCATCGCCTGAATCCATGCAGGTCGGCCTTTCGATGCCCCGCACTCCTCCCACTCTGCTTACAATGTAAGCGATGCTTTCCCGGAGCAAAGGATCGACCTTAGCGCGTTCGATCCCAAAATGTCCCTTCTCCGACCGGTGGTTCCGGAGTTGGAAAGGTCGTGGCGTTCCGCACTACTGGCTCGTTGGTGGGGTCCGCAGAGGTCGCTGCCAGTTGGCCCACTTTCCGGAGCGTACGACTCATGTCCTGCAGGAGCTGAGGGCTGCCGTGAGCTAGGTAAGGCTCAGTCTTGAACCAGCTCAGGGGGAAAGTCCCTGTGACGGAGGGACAGGGGACAGGCGGATTGGAAGTCGCACGCCCTGCGGCGTGTTCGGTCGCCGGGGCGATGCCACGTGGCCTTCCGCTCGGGTGCAGAGCCGCGGCCGCTGGGGCCTGCTGGCTTCGCGCCGGTTGCCTGTGAGTGTCACGCCCAAGGGGCTGTGGAACCTGCCTAGGCGCCAAGGGGGGTGTGATGATCACCGGCGTTCTGTGCGCTGGCATCCGGGCGCGCGCCCCATAAGGGTCGAGCACTTCTGGTCCGCTGCGCGTGACGCGCACGTTTCCGTAGTCCTCCTCTTCGTAGGATTCTTCGTCGGAGAGATCAAGCTCCGGTTGGTGCTCCCAGACAATGGGCCTGGTGACCAAATGGACCTGCGGTTCTTCCTGCGTCGCTCGCTTTGACCTTGTCTGTCTGAGAGGCATCTTTTCCTTCTGCGGAGAGGACTTCGTCTTCTGTGGAGGCACCTTCGGCTGCGACATTTTGGTGCGCGCCCTCGTGCAGGGCCCGTTCGGGCAGCTGGGCGCTAAGTGCGGCAGACAAGTGCGCACTGTGCCCTTAACTCCACAGGAGTGGCAAACCCGTTCTTTCCGGGGGGCGGCCGGGGCCGTCCCCGAGGCCCGTCGGGGCGAGGGAGTGTCTGGCACCCATTCTCCTTCAAAAGTGGAGTGCAGAATAGTGGGCGGCTCGCAGTCTTCGTAAACTGTTTCAGTGTCGCAATCGGTGTAGCCATAGTCGACTTTCTCTCCGTTAGCCCAGCGGGCCGTGTTCTTCTGTGGCTCGGGGCAGTTCATCTGCACGTGCCCTGTCTTGCCGCAGTTAAAGCAGGCTCGGGGCTTGGTCGGGGGGAAGTTAGACCGACCCTGCTGTGGAGGGCGCTCATTCCTTGCGCCATTGTTTCGATCGCGGTAACGACCGGCGGGTGGTGGGCGCGGAGGATCCTGTTGAGTCAACCAGGCGGTGTCGAAGTCTTCGTCCGGTGGGCGCTCTGAATCAGCTTCAGAGTACCTGTCGGCCTCGGTCAGTCGAACTTGGTTCGTGGCGCGCGCGGTGACCCGCAGCGGCGCCATTGGCTTAGCCGTAGGAGCTTTCTCCTGCTGTCCCTCCGCCGCTCGTCCGGACGAGGGGTATGGGGTGTGAACCCATCGGAGCCCCCGGGGGAAGGCGGTGGGTCGGGGGACGAGGCCACCTGTCTCTGCAAAGAAGGGGAAAGCTCCCGCGGTCTTGTTTCCGGGGCGTTGTTAACTGCTTGGCTCTGGGGAAAAACTCGAAGCCGTATCGGCTCTTTTCGGGAGTCGATTTGTTCGAACGGAGAGGTTTCTGTGGGGCCCCCCGTTCGCTGCCTCCCATAATCCTGCCATAGCCGCTCAGTCGTTCTGGGCCTGGGCATCTGTTCCTGCACTTCTATTCGGATTTCAGGAACGGAAGCGAATTGCTCAGGCGGCTGCACTTCCCCGCGTGTTGGCAGCGGAGAAGAAGCCTGCTCCGAGTCACTTCTGTTTGGGACGAGTCGCCAACGGTTGAGTCTGATTCAAGCTTGGCGGCTCCTCGTTCCCTTCCTCTTTTATTTTCTGTCTTCTGGTGAACTCCCTGAACCTTTGGTACTCTTCCCATTCTTCGTCGAAGCCTGAGGAATTTCCACTGGCGGAGTTTGTTCCTTTGGGGCAACTGAGCCCTCCTTCCGGAATTTCCGGTGGGCTAGCTCCTGAAACG